GTCTTGTTAATTTTTTCTGTTTCATTGATTTCTGCTTGAATCTTTATGATTTCCTTTCTTCTGGTGACTGTAGGCTTTTCTTGCTGTTCTTTTTCTAATTATTGGCAATGTTGGTTTATAGTGTTGATTTTGGCTCTTTCTTCTTTTTTGATGTGTGCATTTATTGTTATAAATTGGCCTCTGATCTCTGCTTTTGCTGTTTACCAAAGGTTTTCATATGTTGTGTTTTCATTCTCATTTGATTCAAGGAATTAATAAACTTCCATTTTCATTTCTTCTATTACCCAGTAGTTTCGTGGAGGGTGTTACTCTATTTCCATGTGTTTGCTCTTTTTCCATTGATATTCCTATTGTTTTCTAATTTGATAACATTGTGATCTGAAAAGATGCTTTGCAGTATTTCAGTGTTTTTAAATTTGTTGAGGCTTTCTTTGTGGCCCAACATACGGTCTATCATGGAGAATATTCCATGTGCTCTGGAAAAAAAACATATATTTTGCTGTTTCTGAATAAAGTGCTCTGTAGATGTCTATGAGGTCAGGTTGGTTAATTGTATTGCTTAGTTCTTCTGCATGTTTGTTGAATTTCTTTCCAGTTCTATTTTTTGTGGAATGTAGTTTATTAAAGTCTCCTGTTATTACTGGGGAATGATATATTCATCTTTACAATTCTGTTAAACTTGGATTTATGCATTTTAGGACTCTTTCATTGAATGCGTAGATATTTATTATGGTTATGTCCTCTTGTTCAATTGATCCTTTAATCATGATATAATGTTCTTCCTTATCTCTTAAGGTAATTTTTTTTTTTCGGGGGGGGCACAGAGAGCAAGTTTATTTGGTAAATGCTGCTGGCAAGCATTATTGGAGAGAGACAAGATGGGAAAGGTGCTGTGACAGCCAAGAGGCCTTCAGGGCTAGATAGAGTCTCACACAGGAAAAGGCACAAGGGCTCTGGGGAAACAGGAAGGGCTGCCCTCAGCCATTCAGCACCACACGGGTGAGTTCTTCATAGTTAATACAACCATTGTTGTCCTCATGCCCTGCCACCAGCATCTCTACTTCTTCCTCTGTCATCTTCTCACTCAATGTGACAAGGACGTGCTGGATTTCAGCACCCATGATGGTACCATTACCTTCCTTGTCAAATACTCGAAGACCTTCAACATAGTCTTCATAGGTGCCCTGGTCCTTGTTCTTGGCCACAGTCTGCAGCATGGGCAGGAAGTGTTCAAAATCCAGCACCTTCACATTCATCTCATCACTCTTGGGGTTCCCCAGGACCTTGAGCACCTTGGCGTTGGTGGGGTTCTGACCCAGGACCCTCATCACGTCCCCACACTGA